CGGCCTGTGACACTGACACACATCTCGCAACGCAGGCGTCGATTTCAGTCAGTTACAGTTTAAATAAGAGAGTCTACCGTGTGGTAAATTAAGGGACCAGACCCAAGGAAGAATAGTCGAAGCCTGACACTTCTTGCAACCATAATTTATCTCCGTGATGTACAAAGGGCACGGTGGAGGATCATTGTTAGTCTCTCCCCACCCCTGCCCCCTTTCCTGTTCTGGGTGCACACAAAGATACAAACAAACAAAGATCCTGATTCTGGTGGCAGAACTTGATTGACCTGTTAAAAAAACTTGGTGATCCTGGCAACAAAACTTGATTTGCCTGTCAGCAAAACTTGAAGAACCAGTCGGGGTGAGATGTCAGAGTCCCCTTTTTGTCGCATGATTTGCCAGACGCGTAATTAAGCTTAAACCGCAAGAAGCCGGTGCGAACAAAGGACAAGTGACCTGAACTGCTTTAATTTAGACCAAAGAGCTAACCACGGTTAAATATTTTTTAAAAAGCTGCCCAAGAGTATTGTTTTCTGCATTATCATTGGCCGGCGTTTTGATGAAGTTTGAAGCTTGAGGGATAGGTGATACGTTTATTTGAAACAAATGCAAAACCAATCGAAATCGCAACCATGATTGATTGTTAGGAGATTTTATTTTGTCCATGGAACAACGAATATCAACAAAAGGCGATTTGTCCGATGGCGTCAGAGCTGCTACAATACCTTGTTTTCTCGTTTCCTCATACTAATTAGGGTATTTGTGGTTTCAAAATTAAGAATAACTCATAAAAGAAATGCAATATCAATTTTTAAACTCGTGGATACGCGAAGCGTAGGAAGGTATTTGTTGTGGGGACTCCGATATGCAAATGTGTCACTCACTCACTCTACTATACTATACTATATACTATACTATACTATACTCACTCACTCACTCACTCACTCACTCACTCACTCACTCACTCACTCACTCACTCACTCACTCACTCACTCACTCACTC